TCTGCTCTCCACACACAAGAGTTATTTCGCCGCTCGTCTAGCAGAGGGTGTTCTGCTAAGGCCAAATCATGAAGCCCTTGCAAGGAGGAGCGCTGGTCTGGTGGATCCTGCCTCAGGCCTGGGAGATGGTCGAGGTGATGCTCCTCCAGCCCTGTTTTTCCCTGTGATGCGGTGAGGAGCTCCTTTGTTTTCCATGAGCCTGCCCGCGCGATGTCTTGCTGTTCAGCGTGAGGGGCAGGACGGAGGGGGACAAACCTCTGCAGCACTTACGGCGCAGTCTGAGCAGGAGCACAAGCCGTGCCTGGGAATGATGGGTGCCTCGTGGCCACTCCTCTCCTTCTCACATCAGAGCAGTCACACCCTTGAATCCTTTTCCCTTTCCTTTTCCTCCATCTCCTTCTCCTTTTCTTCCTCTTCTTCTTCCTCAGCAGTTTGCACCCGGCTGCCTCTTGCCCAGCTAGCAGCGCCCAGTCCGCCTGCCTCCTGCAGCGTGCTGCTCTCAGCCCCTTAAGCAACCCCACCGCCTTCTCCGCGCTGCTCCTCTCTCGTGATGATTCCCGTGGGTCTGGGCTCTAGTTTGGTTTCCACCATCCCACCAAGGAGGTGAGAAATCACTTGAATGAGCCGTAAACCAGGGCTCCGGGGCTGGCCCTGGAGGAGGGGCAGGACTGAGAACCAGAGGCTAAGAAAAGAGAAGATCAAGGAGATTCCTGCCCATCCTCCTCCTCTGCCCATTCCCCACCGCTTTGGATCCAAAGGGCTGATGGACAGAAACGAGAGGAATGGCTTTTCTCTCCTCCTGGACTTTTCTCCCCTCTCCTCTTCCTCTGCTCCACCATCCCGGGCTCTGTCCTGGGGTAAGAGTTTCTCTGCAGGCTTTACCCTCCGAGCCCCCGCTCCCCAGGGAATGCTGTTGGCAGCGGCTGGGGGTGGCAGCTCCAGATAGAGTCAGCAGGACATCTGCTCTTTCATTTTGCTTTTATCTGCTATTTCATTTTGCTTTTGCAGAGGCTGGATGAGCTGGGCTGTTTGGGAGGCAGGGGCGGGGGGACGGTGGGGGCTGTCTTTGGCCCCTGCCATGCAGACAAGCCAAACTGAGCAGCGCTGAGCGTGAGGATACCCTCACCCCTCATCAAAACAAGCCCCCCCAAAGGAGTTTACACTGTGTGGCTCCAAGGCAGCAAATGAGCTCAAGCCCTCAGGCCGCAGGAGGGGAGGGGGAGGCTGGGACCGCCGAAGCGGGGGGCAGCCCCTCACCCCAGAGCTCTGCCATCTCCCCTCACCCTATGAGCACGGAGGGAAAGGCTTTACCGTCTGCCTTCCCCAGGCTGGGCAGGTTCAGAGCATTGCCCTCCTGCAAGTGGCACAGGAGCCAAGGGGAAGAGACGCTGCACGCAGCTCGCCGGAGCACAGGAGGGTCCAATGTCCCCCGAGCCGTGGGGCGGCGGGGTCCTGCCACCCACGGGGTGCTCAGACAAGGCATCTTGGTGCCCAGACTTTATGTCTGGACAGATGCACCCATCGCTGGCCGGTCCCCAGCGCTGCACGTTGCCAGTCCGTCACCTCCGAGGGCGGAAAGTTCCCTTCCTTGGCTGCCCGGCCAGCGTGGTGGAGCCGGTTGGGCTTTGCCAGCTGCCGTGTGCCTGGTCTCGGTCCACCCCACTTCAGCCAATTTTACAGATTCCCCTTTGCCAGCCCCACTTTTGGAGGCTGTCTGGCAGAGGAGTTGGTGATGGGGGTTATCCACGTGCCCATGGCCGCAGCTGTCCTGGCCCGTTGCTTGACGCAGAGCAATCCCCGAGAGAGGAAGGTGAATCAGCCACTCAGTAAAAGACAGGTTTGGGCAGCAATTAATATTTTATAAAAGCAAGAAGTCTTGCTGTTGCTGCAACTTGAGGAGCGCAGGCCAGGGAGCAGAGCAGGAGGAGGAGGAGCGGAGGCTGGAGGAGAGCGGAGCGGAGGAGCTGATGCCCCCCCACCCGGAGGGAGGCCTGCCATCAGCCCCGCGGAGCCGAGAGCCGCGGGCTTCCATGCCACCGGGCATGGCAAGAGCCCCGATCCCGCGCCGACAGGCTACAGCACCGGTTACACCGAGGCTGGGGGGGGTCTCACGCAGGATCGGGCTCCCAGGATCGTAGAAACCGGGGAGAGAGGAGGGCTGGGAAGAGGCGGGGGATCGGGGAACAAGGCAGGAGGAGCAGAGGGACCCGGGGCGCTGGGGCTGCAGGGAGGCACCTTCGCAGCAGGCAGCGGGGGAGGATGCGATGGATGCCGGTTTCCTCCCAGCATGAGGCAGATGGGAAAGGTTTCAAAACTGGGGCAGGAGCAGAGAGGAGGGAGGTGGGACCACCATGCCCGGGGCTGGGGGCTGCAGCCTGAAAGCTGAAAGAGGAACAAAGCAACGGCTGAGAGTGCTGGAGCATGACGGGGCTGGGTGGTGGGTCCCATCCTGTCCCCCCATCACCGCTTTCACCCCGCGCTGGCCCATCAGGATTGAACCGCTCGCTGGCATCTGCGAGGGCCCTGCACGTCCTGGGTGCTTCCTTGCCCGGGGACCTGCGGTGACACCGGTTTCCACTATGGCACAAAGCTGATCCTGGCAGAGCGGAGGCTCGTGCCCTTCCCCAGCAGTGCCCCAGCGATGCTCAGCCATTGCCACCAGCACTGGGAGGGACCCACCACCCCACGGTGGGACGGGACCATCTCCAGCCCTCCTGTGGGACCTCCTCTGCCCTGGGGGAGCCATTTCCAGGGCGGTTTGGCAGAGAGGTCAAGGGGAAAAGCCTGAAGCTGGGGGGTCACTGCCTCCACTGTGTGCTGGGGAGAAGCCCAGCCCTGCCGCAGCGGGGTGCTGAGCTGCACGGCCCTTTGTAATCCCTCCTGCTTTGGGCTGACGTGACACAATCTCTTGCTATGTCCATGTTTCTGGAGACTTGGAGGGACCAGCTGGGCTGGGCGGGAGTGCTGCAGCTCCGGCAGCAG